TCAATCTGAGCAGCTGAGTCCTTAGCCATCTTCAAGAATCGGCTAAAAACACATTTCTTCCATCTTTATTTGACCCTCTGACTCTAGCACTCTCTATTCTAATTCTATTCTTTATAAAAAAAAAACTTTTAAAAAAACTTGCCCCTTTTAGACTTGCACTCTTTACTAACTGCTAACGAGTTTCACAATTTGAGTTGAATTACTGAAATAAATGAACTTTTCCACGACATTCTAATTTATTGAGATGGATCTGTATCTGTTTTCTTTTTATTTATTATATAATTTAAAAAAAACAACCTTGCTATGTGTACTACGTTAAGCTAACTGAGACTTGTTATAGCACTTGCATATCATTGCTCTTTTGTTGATTTTGATTGCTTCCATTGTCCTCATTTGTAAGTCGCTTTGGATAAAAGCATCTGCTAAATGTCTAAATGTAAATATAGCGCGATCTGAACCCTAAACACATTTTGTCAAAAAAAACCCAGTATCGTCCACTTTCAAGGCATCGTGAGTTCAGGTTTTACTGTAGAAGCCAACAAGCGCTATAATTTTGTAAGTTACCTGTATTTGTTTGAGTTATTATTACTTAATCAAAACAACCGAACTGCAGTTTGATTGATATTACTTGGATTGATTTATGAAAATAAATAAAAGTGGAGTTATCCGTTTTTGCAAATGAACTCTTCATTTGTTCATTTAGCCAAAGCGGCTTACAAATAAGAAATTAAACAATATGTTGTTTTGCAGAGCTCTGCCGCCTGTGCCGCGGCTGCTGGCCGGTTCGCTGGCGGGAACCACGGCTGCCATGATCACATATCCGCTGGACATGGTCCGAGCTCGCATGGCCGTCACACCCAAAGAGATGTAAGACCTGCATCATCTCACAGACTAAACTGGATGATAGGTTTACTCTGCTACATCTGCTGGAATGACACAGTTTGGATTTTGTTTTACTATACTGATTTATGTTAAAGAAGACATCGGATGCCCATTTTTCACAAGTTGATATGATTCTTTAGGGTCTTAATGAAAAGTCTACAACATACTTTGGTTAAAACTACTCAGTGGTAGTGTAAAACAACACCCTTTTTACCCTGTCAAAAACAGCTCCGTTTACAGCAAGTCGTTTTAGTGCATGTTCCTTTAAATGCTAATGAGCTCTGCTGACCCCTCCCCTCTCTACTGTGGGGTGACGAGCCATCCTCATGAGACTGTTTACTTTAGCCGTGGAACTTGCTAACTAGCACGTTATTAGGAAAGGGGATTTGCAAAGATTCATAAAAGAACCTTATACTGACTTCTGTAGATGAGGCTGGATCACGAATGATTTGCGTGAACATAAACGCATTTAGGTAGATCGGAGGAGCATTCCCTTCAGAAACAAACGTAATCCACTGTGTCTTCAGTGGCTCAGATGTCAGGAGTAAATGACGACTGCTATGTTCATTATTACATCCAACAACAGAACAACTCAATCGCTTAGGAGTCATTCTTGTCTAAATCTGCTCCAGCGGTGAAACAATGGCGGACTGATGACAGTCACTCAGGGCTGGTCTGTGCTGAAACGCTACTGTCAATCAAACTATCGTGGGAGGGGCCTGTCTGTGTGACGTCACACTGACAGGCATCTGAGATCGACTGGATTTGAGAAAAGGGAAATGATTTAACGAGATAAAAAAAAAAACACTGGGTGGATTTTTATCATTATAGGGTGGTTGTGTACACACACTGCCAACACACATTTATGTTCAAACAACATGTAAAAGTGCATGTAGCATCCGATGACCCCTTTAATTTTCAGAAATTAGTAGTCTATTTAAAATAATTAAAATGAAAAATATAACTTCAGAATTCTAGAAGTTTTAAGTGTTGAATGTTCTTCAGGCATCCCAAACTTTTTAACCAGTAAATGGCTTTTCAAATGTTTGTGATTTACTGGATAAGGATCAATGTTGAAAACATTAACTGAAATAACATACAGTATAAATATTAGATGAAAAACTTAAACTTAATAAACTAATAAAAAAATTTATACAATTAGAATTTGACAATCAGTTTGAAATAAAAAATGAAATCAGAATTTGAAAATCGGTTTGAAATAAAAAATCAAATCAGAATTTGAAAATCAGTTTGAAAAAATAAATTAAATAAAATTAGGTTTTGAAAATCAGTCTGAAATAAGTTTAAGTACTAAAATGAAGTACTATAGAAAATGAAACTAAAAGTGAAATAAAATAAATGAAAGCTAAATAAAAATGTTAACAATAAAATGAAAACTAATACAAATGACAAAAGCACATGATGAAATTACCAAAACAAACTGAAATTAAAATAAAAACTGAAAATGTAAAAATAAAAGCTCAAATATTAAAAGATAAAATATTAATAAATACTATAATAGTATATATATAATACTAAAATAACACTGAAAATGATTTTTAAAACCCACAATTTCTACCTCATAAAATATTTTAGAGCTTGACATAACTAGAAAAACGTATGCTCTTTATAAAATTGATCATGGTGTTTTAATATTTAATTAATTTCCATGACTACCCCAGTTCTAGAAATCACAATTTAAAAAAATAAATCCAGGTTTTCCAAGACTGCGAGAATCCTGTTTTTTCAAATACAACAAAACATTGTTGGGTTGAATCCAATTAAAGAACATTTAGATTTTTAGTTGTTTTGACGTATTGTAATGCTTTTGTCGTCATATTTAAATCATCTTGAAGCCCCTTGGACAGTTGAACAAATGAGATGAAGCGAGTTTTGATGTGATGTCACTGTGATGTCGCTGTGTGATGTTGTTGTGTGATGTCACAGTGATGTCACAGTGATGTCACTGTGTGATGTCGCTGTGTGATGTCGCTGTGTGATGTCGCTGTGTGATGTCATTGTGTGATGTCGTTGTGTGATGTCACTGTGATGTCGTTGTGTGATGTCGTTGCTGGTCAGGTACAGTAACATCCTGCACGTGTTCGTCCGAATCTCTCGTGAGGAGGGGCTGCAGACGCTCTACAGAGGATTCACTCCCACCATCCTCGGCGTCATGCCGTATGCAGGACTCAGCTTCTTCACCTACGAGACGCTCAAGAAAATCCACACAGGTAAAGCACGACTCTGTGTGAATCAGGGTCATTATAGCTTTGAAATTTAACCAGCTGCCATTTGATTATTATTTATATTTTGGTTTCAGTGTTGTTTTAGTTTCAAATAATTGACTGTGTTTAGTTTAGATTTTAATTGCATCACAAAAAACAGTAAGACTTTTCAATAAGATCCCATTAGTTGCCTAATTTTAACAATAAGCATTACATTTGTTACAATATTTATTAATCTTTGTTAATGTTATTTAATAAAAATATGGCTGTTCATTCAGCTCCGTTAAATAATATTAACAGATGCAACTTTTGAATTTAATAATGTTTTAATAAATGTTGAAATTAACATTTAACTAAGATTAATAAATGCTTTAAAAGTTTTTTTTTTTTCATTTTAGGTCCATTGAATAATATTAATAGATGCCAATTTAGATTTTAACAATATATTAAGAAATGTTGCAAGTAGCAATACTAAGATTAATAAATGCTTTAAAAACATTTTGAATTTTTAGTTCATTTTAGGTCCATTAAATAATATTAAAAGATGCAACTTTTGATTTTAATAATGTATTAATAAATGTTGAAATTAACATTTAAAGCATTTATTAATCTTAGTTAATGTGAATTTCAGCATTTATTAAAGAGGTCATATGATGCTGCTAAAAATTAACATTATTTTGTGTATTTGGTGTAATGAAATGTTTATGCGGTTTAAGGTTCAAAAAACACATTATTTTCCACATACTGTACATTATTGTTTCTCACTCCAAAGAGAAAGGAAAACTTGAAATCGCATCATATGACCCCTTTAAAACATTATTAAAAGCAAAAATCTGTATCTGTTAATATTATTTAGTAGACCTGAACTAAAATGAAGTAAAAAAGGAAAATAATATTAACAGATTAAACTTTTTTGAAATAATTTAATAAATGTTGTAATAAACATCAATTAAGATTAATATAAACACTAAGTATTCTTCATTGTTAGTTCGTTAACTAATATTATCAAATGAAATGTTGCTGTTACCAAAAAACTAGTCACAATCAAAAAGTTACATTTTAATATTCAAATATTCATTATATTATTAATATAATATTAATTAATTAATATTATTTTATATTACATTTTAAATATTTAAAATGTTTTATTTAATTGGCCATTTTTATTTATAATCTTAACTGTTAATTATTATTATTATTATTAACGTACATTATCATGTATATTGTTTTATCTTTTTTATATTTATTAAAAATGTTTTATTTATTTGGCCATTTTTATTTATATTCTTTACTGTTAATTATTATTATTAATGTACATTAGCATGTATATTATGTTTTATTACATTTTATATATTTATTAAAAATGTTTTATTTAATTGGCCATTTTCTATTTATTATTATTATTATTAACGTACATTGTCATGTATATTATGATTTATTATATTTTATATATTTATTAAAAATGTTTTAATTGTCCATTTTTATTTATTATTATTATTAACGTACATTATCATGTATATTATGATTTATTATATTTTATATATTTATTAACATTTTTTTATTTAATTGGCCATTTTTTATCCCCGTGTAGGAAAGTCTATGTGTTGGTGTATTTTTGGGAACACACTCTTTAAGTCTGCGTGGTTGAAATCCCCAGCCAAGATGAGAAAAGCATCAGGGTGGGCTGTCTGCTGCTCACTGATGTGCTGGTACAGTTAATTTATTATTAACGTACATTATCATATATATTGTGTTTTATTACATTTTATATATTTATATAAATTTTTTAATTTAGCCATGTGTTAGTAGTTATTTTCAGTATTCAGTATTGTCTCCTCTGGCTGTTTCAGAGCACACGGGCCGCTCTCATCCGTTCTCGTACGAGCGTCTGGCGTTCGGTGCGTGCGCAGGATTGATCGGTCAGTCGGCCTCTTACCCGCTGGATGTGGTGCGCAGACGCATGCAGACGGCGGGAGTCACCGGACACACCTACGGCAGCATCTTGGGCACCATGCGGGAGATCGTGATGGAGGAGGGCGTGATCCGCGGCCTCTACAAGGGCCTGAGCATGAACTGGGTCAAAGGGCCCATCGCCGTCGGCATCAGCTTCATGACCTTCGACCTCATGCAGATCCTGCTGCGCAAACTTCAGCAGTTCGGCCACAGTGCGCGGTAGCTGAAAAACACAACATTTAATAGTTTTTTTTGTTTTTAACCTGAGCAAATGCTGCCAATGAGGACGACGAGAAATGCCTGGCATCATGTGACTAGTTTAAAGTTCTGTTTTTTGATGCAAAAGCATATGTGCACTGCAAAAATGATTTTTTTACTTGGTATTTTTGTCTTGTTTTCCGGTACAAATGTCTAAACATTTTTTAAAATTAAGATGCATTTACTTGAAGCAAAATGACTCTAGATATTAAGTCTTGTTTTATGAAAATGAATCAAAATGAGGTGAGTTTATGCTTAAAACAAGAAGAAAAAATATCTGCCAGTGGGGTCAGAAAAAATTTCTTACTTCAAAGGGAAAGCAAAATAATTTTTCATACTCCACAGGCACACGTTCGTTCTTGTTTTAAGCCTAAACTTACTTCATTTTGATGAATTCTTCAAAAAACAACTTATTGTGCATCATTTTGCTTCTCGAGTAAATGTATCTTGGTTTAAGAACGTTTAGAAATTTGTACGGGAAAGCAAGACAAGAACACAGGTTAAGAAGCTGATTTCTGCGGTGTGTGTTCACACACATCAGGGGATTTGATGAAGACACACACATGCATTTTGAGTTTACAGCACGCGTTTGTGTGTGTGTGTGTG